GCCCTGGGACTTCCGTGGTCCTCCCCCTCTGCCCCAGTCAGTCCAATCCCTGACTGCCCAGAGCTGACCGCCACAGGGTAGTTTTCTTGGGAAATACGTTTCTAAAATGTGATAGGCCCAGCCTTCTCAAGCACTTATCCGCCCAGTGTGAGCAGGGGGCCCCACCTCAGCAGTCAGGGTCCAAGGCTGGTTGGCTCTGCTGTGTTGACAGTCAGTTGAGGCCCTTGACCTTGTGGACCCCCAGGCTCGTCACTGTTACCGTGGCTCCGTTTCCTCATCTGAAGAGCGTGCCCACAGCCCAAGACTTCATAGGGTGTCCTCAAGATTATAATAGAGCCGTGCTCGACACAGAAAGTGTTGCAGGATGGAGGACAGACTCTAGTTCCTCAGCCATTTGTCAGTCAGGACCCGAGGACCTGGCCCAGTATGCTCAGGGCTCCTGGGAGGAAAGAGATGGGGTGGTGTCTCCCCTCCACCCAGATGCATGCACACACACAGCTTGTTTCTCAGGAAGCACTGGGGTCCAGGTCAGTATTGCATATGGCGGATGTATTCTGGGCCTGCTTGCTGACCCGTGGGGACACTGTGCCTCCACAGATGAGGAATGCTGGGGAGTCTGGGGTTGGGAGGAGGCTTCCCCATTCTGTAATTCCTGGGATACCAGGGAGAGAGGCCTGGGCTGGGCAGTGTAGCCTGATGGGGGCAGGTGAGTGAAGGTTCATCTGCCTTAGGCCCCAGCTTTGGGCTGCCCGGGTCTCTGGCTGGTAGTGTGACCTTGGAGAAGCAGTCCTGTCTGCCCTGGGGCCAGGTGTTATGTTGAGTGGGGAGAAGGGACTGGCGCCTCCTTGGCCCATGTGGCATTTCCCAAGAGCGCCCTAGAAGTTGGGCAGGGCATGGGCAGCACCCTCTCCCAAGGGAACATGAGCCTAAGTCCACTTCTGCCTCCATCCATGGTAGGTCCCGATGCCAGGCACCTCCTTATTATAGCATCAAGCATGGGAGCTGGGGAGGGGAGGGCGCTGCACTGGGGGGGGGGGCTGAGAGTCGTGGGGCCGCCCAGCCAGATGGGACTGCAGTGAGCCTGGGCTCCATACGTCATGTACTAAGTCTGGACAAGTGACGGCCCTTGCTTGCCCTCCTTGGATATTTATATCCCCCTGGGCCCCCTGCCCACCGCTCCCCTCCCCTCCCCCAGCTCCTGCTGACAGGGCTGGAAAGCTGTGCCCTCCTCCGGCCTCCTCACTGCCGCTGCAGGCTTGCTGCCTCAGAGGGGCCCGTGACCCTCCCCACGCCCCTTGCCCGCTCCCCGTCCGCCCCGTGGGCTCCCGTCGCTGTCCCCAATGAAGATCGTGCCCGGTAGGTGGGGCAACCCTTCAGAGTCTTTTGGGAACCCAGCTAGGCTGGAGGCCGTGGCCCCTGGCTTCCTCTGTATACACCCGGCTGCCTGACCTCACTGGCCTCTCCCTCAGACCCTGTCCAAGGCCTCCGCATGGGAGCTTGGGGCTTATGAGGAGCCCACCCCCATCTTTCAGCGCGGTGGGGTCCGTTGTAGGCCTGGGGAAGGGCAGTGAGGGACTGGACACTGACATCCGTTCACCCCCTGGGCTTGGTGGCTCTTCCCAGAGGGCACCCTTGGAAGTAGAATGAGAGTTTGTTTGGGTTCTCCTCCTGATGGGGACAAGGAGCGCTGCTTAGGCTTGGCTCGGGAGGGAGGATCCGTGTTGAGTCTGCCCAGGCTAGGCTTGGGGGGCCGAGGCCTGCGGAGAAGAGCTGCAGGCCCCTCCTCCCGGCGGGTGTGGCTGCGGGTAGGCAAGGGTTAAGGCTCCAGTTAACCTTGAGCGTCGTCAATGGCTCTGCGCAGAGACAGCTGAGCCGGGCCCTGTGGGGAGCGCGGGTGGGGAGCGGCCAAGAGCCACGGGGAGGGAGGAGGCTGGGAGGAGGCTGGGTCAGAGCGCAGCCGGTCCCGGTGCCGAGGGGACCGTACACCGTCCCCCCGGGCTGAGTGCAGATGGCACAGCAGGGCTGCCTCTGAGGGCGGGACGGCAGCGGGCAGGGTGGGCTCTGGCTCCCGGGGCGGGGCGGGGGGACCCCTTGGCTGGCTCACCCTCCACGCACGGAGGGGGCCGTCTGACTTGGCAGCGGCTGGGTCCCTGGTGAGGACGGCTCTGCCCATTCAGAGTGGCAGCCATGGAGCCGTCGGGCAGCCTGTTCCCCTCCCTGGTAGTCGTGGGTCATGTTGTCACCCTGGCTGCCGTGTGGCACTGGCGCAGAGGGCACCGGCGGGCCCAGGATGAGCAAGGTAAGCGCCCTCGCCTCTGCCACTGGCATGGGCCACCACCCCGGCCAGGAGACTGGGGCGGGGCAGGGGGTGGAGGGTCCGCCCTCCTCCCGCCCCCTGTCTTCTCCCGAGCCCTCCTCTTCCTGTTCCCCAGTGGAAACACTGGAGTTTGTGAAAGCGTCCATCCCGGGCCTCCTCTGCCCCCAGGACCCTTCCGCTTCCTTGGGTGTGCTGGGGGTAGAGCTTTGCGGCTGTCTAGCCTGCAGCAGGGCCTGGGGAGGTGAATGGAGAGAGGCTGGGGTGAACTCTGGATGGAAGGCACAGGCCTGTGGGCATGCCAGCCTTCTAAAGAAAGGCCCCTCTCCCTTGGCACAGCAGTGAGAAACCAGAGTGGCAGGTTCACAGGCTGAGCCGGGCAGGGCACAGAGCCTGCCTAGTGGCCTTCCTGCCCACAAGAGTGTAGGCCGAGGTGCACAAAGGCAGTTTGTCTGAGTGTCCTCCAGCATGGCATAGGACCCAGAACCAGTCGTGGGGGCAAGGCGTTCGTCTTAAGTTCCGCCCTCTCCTCAAAGTCACCAGCTCTTGGGCTATAGTCCGAGGTGGCCATGCTCACCGCAAAATAGGGTGGGGCCGAAGTGAATGGGGCCCGGGACAGTCCCTGGGGATTGGCAGTTCTGCACCAGGGCTTCTGGCCAGAGGGACTGCCCTCGTGAGATGCACCCCAGGCATGGCACCGATGGGAGTGTGTGTGTGTGTGTGTGTGTGTGTGGCCTTGTGCCCCCTAGCGGGCCTGCTGGGTCTTAGCGTCCAGTGGAAGAGCGCCAGGACGTGGGTCTTAGAACGGGTTTTCCAGGCGTGCCTCTAGGGTTCCCAGAAGCCGGTGAGTCAGCTGTAAACAGTGGCATCCAACAGAATGCACAGGCCCAAGGGCTCCTTCCCCTCGGAGATTCCCCCCCCCCTTTGGGACCAGACGCTGGCCCCTCCTCCCTGAGTGCAGTTTTGTTTTTGGTCACCTCACGAGGGGCTCCCTGTGTCCCCTCTTGGTTCACTTAGACGCCTTGCAGTGTGCAAGGTGTGGGCGTGGCCGCCCGCAGTTCTGTACTCTGCCCATCGCCTCAGCTGATCCGGCCTCTTGGAGCGGGTGACACTTGGACATCCTGCTGGGAGTGGCCCTCCCGCAGTCGCCAGGCGTCTTGAGAGTTACCATGGGCGTGGGAGGAACCCCGGAAAACTCCGATCACCGGAGAGTTCCCAGACCCTCTTGGCTAGAGGGCACCTGCACCCCTGTCCCCTCGACTTCCCGCGAGCTGGTCTGCTGCTCCCTATGGGTTGGGGCGCGGCTTCCTGGCCCACACTGGGCGGGGCGGGGCGCTGGCAGCAGGGGCAGGTTCTCCGGGTCTGGGCACTGCGTCCGGTGGGCGGGGGCGAACGTGGAAAGCCAAGCCAGGGCCTTCAGCCTTGAACAGCTCCCGTGCCTTCCGAGAGCGACCCGGGGCGCCCGGGGTTCCCGGCCATGGCAGGGACGTGGGCGATGAAGGGCGCCTTCACTTCGCAGAGGGAGGTCCTGCTGGAGCGGCCCTGCTGGCTGGATGGGGGCTGCGAGCGGGTCCGCCGGGGCTACCTCTACGGGCAACTGTGTTGCGTAGGTGGGTGCGGCCGCTCAGGTCGGTGGGCAGGTCTCTGAATTTGTGATGGGGGTGGTACTTGGCCCAGGTACAGCCCCGCCTCCAAGCTCCGGAAACACCTGGGGAGGAAGGCAGGCTAGGCTGGCTCAGGGATAGGTTTGCCTCTGGAGGAGGGGGATGGTAAGTGGGCGGGCCAGGGGGTTTTCTGGGCTTGGTGCTCTAGCT